AAAAGTTATAAAAATAAAGTATGAAATTACTTGTCAAATTAAAAATAAACAAAAATTGAGTATGAAATTATTTGTCGTTCTTATAATAAAATAATACAAAAAACTAAATAAACAAAAGATACACTCCAAAACTCAAGATCATTCGTAAATGCAAAAAAATAAATTGATAAACTATAAAACACCACATAAACGGTAAAATTTGGATAGAGAATTAATTCTTAAGAAAAATCATACAATAATATATGTTAAGAATACATGTAGTATTTATAATCTTATTAACTTTTATATTCATCAATGATCTTAATTCTTGATAGCTGATTACTTTGAAAATGATGATAAATTTGAATTCCTATGAAATGTTGAACAAAAACTATTTTTTTTTTATTGGGTTGCATTAAATTTATGAATTTACAAAGTATTTATAAAAATATTTAAATTTGAATTTTTATTATGCATTAGGTTTTGTTGTAAAGAAATAAGAAATGTACGAAAATGGGATTTTGACATTAGATAATTTTGGATTCTAATCTTCAAAGATTTGGTATATCATGGTATAATGCACTAACAGAAAAAGAAATATGAACGAACCAAATTCACTATTGATTCTTAAGGTAGTACCGAGAATCAGACCAAAACCGATCGATTCTTGATTCATAGTCCCAAAACCTACTCGTTTAGTAGGAAAACAGGAATTGAACCGACAAGTTCTATCTAGTTCAAATCCAATGTCACCGATTTTCGAGAAAAACACCGGTACAAAAAATCATTTATTAATGTTGTCCTCAAAAAAGATCAAATTTAAAACACGTTAAATTTTGAAGTCAACGGAGGGACAGTGTTCTCCATCTCGGAATCAATTATGCGATAGAGCAGGGAGTAGATATTTTGCCATTTCTTGATACACAAATGACAATTTTTTTATTATAATTTTGCTGCTTGGATGTCAAGTTCTACTTGCCATTTTTGTATTTCACCTAGGGGAGATCGTACTTTCATCTCTCTCACACTTTTGCGTGTGAATTGTGTGTTCTTTTGAGTTATGTGCAAAGGAGATACAGGGTGTTTAGTTGGTCGAACCGAGCTGCTCGTCTCATTCATTGTTGGGTTTAGCTCGACCCACAACGAGTCAGCTCGTGATCGCAAATAGAGTGAGTTGAGCACAACCAAACTCACTATAATAAATCTTTGTCGATTCACTCGACTTGCTCGTCTCTCGCACATTTTTTTATGAAAAAATTTATTATTTTTTATTTCTTGGCTCATGAATGATCTGATGTGATCCAACTGTCGACTCAAATGAAAATAATCAACTCGACTCATTTCATGACTCGCCTTTGAGGCAAACCACATAAACATACCTACGGTTTAGTTACACGAATGAGAAATGTTTCCAGTAAGAGACAAAAAACTATTGTAAACTTGTTGACATGTAACTAGGGTTGTCAAGGGATTGGATTTTGATCCGAATTCAATGAAATTGATGGGAGATGAATTTAAAGTTTCAGTCCAATAATTCGATCAAAATTCAAATCCGATAATCCGCTAACTAAATAGAGCAAATATGGATATAGGTCAATCAGATTCAAAAATAACCTGATCCGATTTGTTATAAATTGTTGAATTGGTTAAATATTTTTATGGCATGTTGTCACTAAAATAAATAAATTAAAAAATAAAAATAAAAAAGTCATCAAATTCAAAATAAAAAAAAAGTCTATCCACATGTACACCATCAATTGTTTGTAGGGGATTTCTTTTGCTTTCCAGAAAGTTATAAGTCATCCCACGTCAGTTTCCATAAAAAATAAGCTAAAAGAATAAGTTATAAATAAGGAACATGCCATTGCTTGGATTTTCACTATTTGAGCCCTGTTAGTTTAAAATATGAGCAAGTTAATTTTAACAGTAATTTTATCTTCCCAATTTCTTCAATTTCGAATTGGATTATCAGATCGAATATCTGATAATATAGCAAATCGGATATGGATTTAACTATCAAATATTCGTTGGATTATCGATTCAAATCGGATCCATGAATTATTCTTATCGGATCGAATCGAATATGGATAGATCCAATTCATGTCCAATCCATTTACAACCTACTTGTAACCATTCACATGGTCTTTCAACTTCTTTTGTTTCATCTCATTCGGTAGGTTTAGCTAAACTAATGTAGGTGAATAATTTGGCATGGGCTCCACAAAGATCTTCTTACCGACGACCAAAGTTATCGATTACTTTACTTTAATATTGTGGGGTTGGTGGCCCCCGTGATTATTGAGAGGAAAAAATTGATCCCCAAAGGGAATATAGAAAGCTTCTTGTACCTTACTTGGAGTTGATGATCCAGTAATAGGTCGATCGATGTCCTAATGTTAAAGAATTCCGAGCAATAGACTAATTGATATTTCAATTATGTTCAACTGAAATAAATCATAAGGTGGAGGCTGGAAATTATTTTGGTAGAGAAATTGTAGAAAGAAGATTGAAAAACAAATTAATTTTGCCAAAGAAACAATAACCAAATTCTTAAGCTAAGGATCTTGCATAGAGTTTCAAAAAATAAGAAAAGTTTTCTTATGATCTATTTCTTGTAGAGACAAGATTTTTTTTTTTTTTTGATTTACCAACCAATGATACTTGTATTCATGTCTAACCTAGGATCCATCTTTTAGATCACCAAAAGTATTTGACTATGGCCAAATGGCAGTTGACATTGGTTGAGGTTTGTTGGTAGTGTTTTCCTTGCAGCCATTATAGTGAACTAAGGAAAAGTATTAATCATATATTTATATTACTTAAGTATATAAAAATAATACATGATTCAAAAGTGTACTATTGGTCTCAAAGTCAATCTTGAATAGTAATTTGGTCTCTAGTTTTTAAAGAGTAGCAAGCTGATTACCAGTTGTTCATTACGCTCCTGTTTGACACCCATTTTTTCTCATCAACCACACATTCTATTAATAAAATAATACTACACATAAATCCAAAAATTCTTATTACTTTTTAACCACACATTCTTCCATCAATCACTATTCCAGAATTTATTTTTTCTCCAAAATGAGTGTCAAACAGGGGCTATAATTGCATAATTAATATCACACGATGAAAATCGTCTACATTTCAATTAAATCATCACACAACACTAAAGTGCCTAACTTTATCAGTCTATATTTTGATTTTCAACTTTCACAAAGACCACATAACAATTTAACAAATATATGGTGGACCTTTTGTCTTGTATGGGTATTATCCGCTGAGATTTTATAAATTTTAAAAGTGTTTCTAAATTCATGTGTCATCAATTGAAATTTTAATGAATTTTATTAATATCTATTAAAATACAGATTTCCCCAAATAAGATTGTATTTCAGTGAAATTCTTTAAAATTTGGAAATCCTCACTAACTCGTGGATTTCTAAGAATTTCATTAACAAAGGAATTTTAAAAGATTTAGATGAATTTCAAACTTAAAAATACATTAGAATTTCACCATTTTTAATTAGGTTCTTATTGATTTTGTGAAAATCTATCCAAATTCGTGAAATTCATTAAAATAGTCTTTTAAGATCTATTGAAATTTTAGTTCAAGACACCCTCGTAAATCTAAAGACTAATTGTGCAACTATAATTTAAAGTGCAGGATCAAATGCTC